GACAATTAAATTGAGCAGGATTTGGCTGTTTTTGTTCAACAACAAACCCTAATTCATTTTGCTAACCCACCACTGAAAATTCACATTCCTCAAAATTAACTCATTTCGCTTATCCATCTGACACTATTCTTGCACTGACAGTCAGCAAAGAGCCGCACGTGTTCTTAATAAACATAGAAACAGAAAAATGTTCATAAATAAATAGCAATTCGCGCATCTACATCACACTTATAAGGAAGCGATCACCCAAGCAACACTAACACTCATGACTTTTTGCTTTACTCTATTTCCTTCTTCCCACACTATAGCTTCGATAATAAAGAGCCAACGAGAAAACTTAACACGAACGTTATACTAACGAGAAAAAGCTAGACCCTAAACTCCCCTGGTTTTGCTATTATAACTTTACAAACCACTTACATATATCCCTACAAAAACACGCGACGATGATAACTTACACGGCACCATCTTCCGCCAATTAACTCGCAAATATCAGCATGACGATTTCACTCATATTGTTTTTTCCAAACACTAATTAGGCACAGTGCCCAAAATTCTATCAAAATTGTAAAAACTAATGATTCCTATTTTAGCTGTTTCTATAACTTTCATCTGACTTTGAATTATTAACACCCAAAACAAATTACACACATGAATTTAATTGTTAGAAAAACCTTACACACTCTCACATTTACTAGCGCCTTATCCAGAGACACTTCATGCAACATTCACCATCATGTATCTCACACTGTCGCTATATGTTCATTAATTCCAAATACAACGCTTCCCCTTTCTTGAGTTTCACATATTGTATCAAAGACATTAACCTGCATGGTACACTCCGCAAGTACGACACTGTTCCTCAAATGTAAATCTTTCAACGCTATTTTAACTTTCAACCCACTGACGATACTCGACCCATGATCATCCCAAAAGAATTCATCAATCATGTAGAAATCCCACTGTATGATTTTTTTCATGACAAAAAAAATTAATCATAACTGATCTAATCTCATCCAAAATTTTAGACACGAACTTACAGTCCCCCATGAAGAACTAGTTCTTATCAAGCCATTTGAAATTCTGTGACCACTACTAAAAACTCCCTAGTAATCATTCTCTTTCGCCAAAGTTTTTTCCGAATGGTTTTTTCACAGTATAAAAAACGTAATGAAAAACTACCTATTTTTCATCAATCTATTGACTATCTTTCAACAATTGTTTTATCCTTTCCCTTTAGATTTCTTCAATAGCTTTTGAAAATAAAAAAAACTGATTGAAAAGCAGAAATAGTTCTTACAAATCATTCAGATAGCAATTACAATTGCATTATATTCTGTAATGCTTAAAAAAAATAAAAATTCAGCAATATTGCCATAATTTTATTGCTGTGAAAAACGTATACAAAACAACACTTTATACGATTGAGATTGTAAATTCAAATAGAACTACTCTTTTTATGTGTAGAAATTCTGTTGCTTTCCAACTCGCCTCCCAATTTGCCCGTTTTTGATAAAACTGCTTAAAACTCTTTTTAATTTTGCTTGACAATTTGTAGCGAATAAAAAACTTCAATTTTCACATACAATTGATAGCACGTCTTCACAGCTTTCAAAATTTTCTTCAATCCGGTTATAATTAATCTTGAATATCCAACGCACTTTATTTAACAGCTCAGCCATGCCAACGCATTACCACTAAGTACAGGAAAAATACACTGTTTTGGAACCAGATCAAACTGCATATTATATTCTTTTGCAACCGAAAACACATTCTAATCAAGACCATTTTAAACTTTAGTAAACCCCAAGTTAACACTAATCATAGACAAGCTGATTCAAACAAGTTGACACAAAAACAATAACTGACAAAACACCAGGTACAAGGAAAAAAAGTTGTAACAAAACGGACACCTTGCTCAATAATTCACTCTCATGTATGTTACCACAACTGGCCTAGTCAACCAGTAAGGACGTCCTGAGCACTCCCTGTGGGCGGCCTCAACCACTGCGCTACATCTCGCTTAGAACCATCGCTTTTATATCGCTAAGAATGACTCCAGTGTGAAAAACACTTCGATATAATCAAACTAGCATAAAAATTTCTGCGAGAGCAATTAAGCAATTCATAACTAAAACTGAGTTTACCTAACAGCAAAATATTTTTATAAAAGGTATGAAATAGTATAGTACACGAGCAACAAAGTAGAAAATGATCACTCGACGAAATTACAAATTGTAAAGGCAAATCTATTGGTTTGGCTTGCCGCAGTCTCAAACTTATCTGTAAAATAAATATGGTTTTGACAACGAAGAAAAGGAACTCATTGAAAGAACCATGGTAAACTCGATGTCAAACTCAACATGCGTTTCCATTTCAATTATAAAATTGTCATAGAAAAGTCAACCTTTCATTTTGCACGCTTATCGCTCTGAATTATGAAATAGACCCCCTACAATTAACATTCTGCACATCATTTTGATCTCTTTGGGTTTACGAAAATCCTTAATCATCATATTTTGTTCACAGACAAATCAAAAGCATTTTTTTGAGCAACACCTTCAAGACAAACAACTCAGAAACCACTCCCATATGAAATACTTTTTTTTTATAGGTGTTTTTCTTCTCTCTTCTAACCCTGCAATAAATCAATATTTTTCTAAGACTCAGACTAGGATTAGTATTGCCTAAGGAGTTGCACGAACCTATCCGTCTGAAAATAGGTAGCATGCCAAACAGACGGCGTGTTTTATCCAAAAAAACTCTATGAGAAATCCACACCGTACATAAACTCGCAATTTACAAAAACAATTGACCCAGTATTAAGAAAAACTGTTTAATTTTTCTAACTTACAGTCTAAATTTGAGCAAATAAATTGAGTGAGCAGGCTTAAAGTAGATCGTTTTTTTCCTTAACAAAGGCCGTGAAAGTTTAAATTTACACAAATAAAGTTGTTTGCTGATTTTTTTAGCGCCAATTGGGAATCAAAAACATCAAAAGTTCACAAATATTTCAGCAACTATCAAACAATTTTTGATATACTTTTAAATCTTACAATGTTTTTCTACAAAAATGATTTCCAATTTGCTGATTTTACTGTGATTTTCTAATATAACGAAGGTACAGTTTTTATTTAGTTTTTTTTCTATCAGATCCATACCTACGCAAACCTATGACACCAATCTGAAAACAAACTTGTTTTTGTATTTATTTAGACTAGGGTCGGAACTTTCTGTGATACTTGCACAGTAACCGGCTATCATTTTTTAGCATTTTGATTTGGTAGGAGTGGGGTGGGCGTTTTCGCGAAAGATAGTTGCTTGCTCGTGGAATCAACAACAATTTGTTGGAGGCGTGTGACCAATTAATAATGAGATCACTCAACGTGTCAAGGAACCGAGAAATTATGAAACCGGAACAATATTGTTCTTTAAAATCGTCCTCTCCCAAAGTTCTGTTTCAAACTGAATTAAAAATAAAAAGAACAAATTATAGCTTTCATGCACATAGTTCTCAACTCAAATTTGGATGCAGATTGAAAACTGACCTCCTAATTGATATTTGCGTTTTTTCAGCGTTTTTGGACATTTTTAAAAAGAGCCAGTCTCAGTTTCTTTTTTTGTTCAAAATTGAAATAACTCAGATAATATGAAAGCATAGCTTAGAAACTGTAGACAAAATGCTCGTTTTTTATCGACAAAAGAAAAACCTTAAATACTTTTAACTCGTCTAAAAAGATCATATCAGTTTTAGCTCTCATTTTGAACGAGCTTGTTGGATTTTGATCCCTTTTTTCATGAAAAGTTTAATTGGTACTTTATTAGAATTATTATTATTTTGTTCTCTCCTACGCGAATATGGGACATCATGATAACATTTGTAAGAGAAACCAATATTGGTTTCATTAGAACGAAGACTTCCTATTTAGTGCTTTTAAACTACGGAGGGTAGTTATAGTACTTATCAATAAACGCACCTGTAATTTTAACTCAAAGAGTTGGTTTGTTAATAGTAATTTAAAGAAAAAAACCTGAAAAACGCAGCCTTTTAATTGAGTTTTAGTAAATTTTGCAGTCTTAGTTTTGACCTTTTACAAAAATGTGTATTAAGCATTTAAATCATCTTATCAGATTTATTGTCATTTAGAAAATAAAGAGACCAAAATTAGCGCCCCGCCCAATTTGCTCCGCTGAAAATCATATTTATTTCAATTGACTTCGTCTTCTTCTTCAATCGTAGTTTTTGATTGGAACCAACAAAAATGGTGGCTCTCTGGATAATTTATGCTCCAGTTTTTATTTTCAGGGGTAAATATTTTCTTCTTGTCTATTATTTTTTTCTCAATTGAATTTTTCTCAATTGAGTTGAATTTTTCTCAATTGCTTGCAACAAAAAAACCGATTGGCGTTTGGCAATAATCATAAAATTACAGAAAATACTTCGCAGGTAGTCGTTGACTGGACAAGACAGTTTTCAATTATTAGCAGGGGCGGATTTAGGGGAGGGGGCCATGGGGCGGCTTCTCCCACCCCCCAACTCAGGTATTTTTGTCCAAATATGGTTTTTATAGTGTTCTGGGACCGCTCGGGGATCAACCGTACACTTTCCCCCCAAATTGACATAGGGGGGAAGAAAGTTTGGATTTTTCATACGCTAACTTTGAGTATAGCCTAGAATCATTCAAATTAACCGTATTACCAAAATTTTTGTGTGATTAACAGCATAAAAATGCAATCCCGATTGTACGGTTGATCCCCTCTCGGAAATTCAATATGGTCGACCAAAAAAAAAGGTCAACAAATTTTTCAAAAACCGTTTCGAAATCCGTCGCCCCCCTCGAGAAAATTCGTCCCCCCCTGTTTTTAGCACTGTATTATTTTGCGATAAACAATATATGCATTTAATGTGCATTTTGTAACCCTACGTAGCTATAACATTAGTTTCAGCTGATTCTAGCCTGGATTTTCTTACCTCTACCCAACGGAGGCTGTTTTTCTAGATCGAAAATTTTATAGACTATCTAGCCAAGTTTTCTCGTATTTTCTTTGCAGAACTGATCTATTTCTTCTCTAGTTTAGAAACAAACAATTTCTGGAAAGAAACAACCCAAAATCAATTCAGTGCTCACCCACAAAAAGATAGATATGCTTCGAGTATACACACTAACAGTAGCAATACAATGCAAATTACGGCATGGGGCCCAGTTAGGACAACCACCTACCAAAATAAAAGCAGCGGTTTCGCGCCACACTAGAAGAACTAGATTTAGCTAATTTCTGATCAGAAATTAGATGAGAAATAAAAAAAATGCCGGCGTTATCTAAACATTTCATAAAAAATTTTCGATCAGAAATTTAGATTGGATATAAAGCATTTCAGGTCAGAAATGAAGAATTTTCTCGGTACGGGTACTTATCTGTTTAACACGCCCATATCATGTACAAAATCACCGTGTAATTAGAGGTGAAAACTGTCCCCAAAACCCAAAAACTTTTTAAAGGAATTTTGGAAAGGTCAAAACGGCGTTAAAAGCTTCTGCATGTGTTTTTAGTTATTTGTGGTCAAGTTTGTGACCCCCCTTCAGTTGAACTTCTTCACGCAGGAGCAACTACGGATCAGCGTACTAGACAGTCCGTCGCGGAAGACTTCCAGTTTGAAGCTGAGGTGAGCTTAAAAATTATTGTTTGCTAAAATAAGACACAGAAGAAATCAATTGTCGCTGATCAAACCACATTTTCAGCCTTAACTCGAGACGAATAATTTTCATTGACTAAAAAATTGTGTTACGCTAAGCTAAATAAAAAAAAACGATTTTTTAAAATATCAAATATCATTTTTTAAACACCAAATTGATTTTGCTTAGACCTCATTAATACCAAATATCTATTACTTTGAAAAACGTTTTGAAAAATGCTTTTATTAAAGCTTGAGCTATTTGAAGCTTAGTTTTGATCCAAGTTTGATAAAAAATATTTAGACCTCAGAAAAAAAATAGCCAATAAAAATTAATGCATATGCAGATATGATTTATTAATTCTCGAACTATTTGAGCCTATATCTGATCAATTTTTTGACAGCGGAAGCAGCAAAATAGAAAAAAAAGAGACTCGCTATAGAAAAACTGAGGCTGAAATTTTGATTCGAAACATGAAGTGACCTGAAGTCACACACCATGTTTACCAATGAAGAACAGAAAAAGTTTTTCCAACATTTTCGATCATAAAGTCAGAAAAAATCATCAAAAACGAACCCTCATGTAGAAACCTCCATAAATTTTTTAAAAAACCTATATGATATGATCACGGTAAACTTTAATACAGTCAAAAGGTAAAAAGTGAAACTTGTATAATTAGTCACTCGGGCACAAAAACAAACTAGTCTTCGGGAACGTTTCATGCAGTAATGACTGCCCCAGCAGCGAGACCAAAACTGAGAACAGTCAAGAACGAAGAGCTTTTGAGCTTGCGTATATCAAAACTTCGAGAAAATATCCTCAGATCTGTTAAATTATACAAAAATATATAGCTAAAGCTATAAATATAAAGCTAAAATATATACAGGCGCAGATCTAGAAAATTCTCGAGAGGGACGGATTTTCAAAAAAAAATTAGAAAATTTTGTCGACCTTTTTTGTATCGCAGGCAAATTTTTAAAATTTGCCTGCTCCCCCTTAAAATTAGTATAAATTTCGAGAAATTTTAAGGTTAGTCAGCCAAAAATTGATATCTTAAAATAGTACAAAGGGGGGACCCTTTGGGTCGGCAGGGGTCGAATTTCTAAAGTGGGGCGTTTGCCCCCCCATCCCCTCTACTTTCGCAAGTATTCAGCAAAAGTCTTCAATGGAAGACTGCCAAATTTTGTTCCCCCGAGCATGCGATAAACATTGAAAACGCATAAGTAGCTCATGAAAGTCAAAAAACTGATAGTTCTTTCAACAGTTTTTGAAAACTATTTATCACAGTTGAACAAGAAATTTAATTCAAAAAAATCAGTTTGTGAAGTTATTCGGAATTTTTTTTTACCGCTAGTTAATCTAAAACTAATGATTTATTGCAGAAACATCAAAAAACAAAAACTCAATTGTTTGCTCGAAATGCATAACTTATAACTTAACAAAGGGTTTCTCAGATATAATTTCAGATCTGAACCCGTACCCAGTTAATTTTCTAAAACAGATCTGAAATTCTTTATTTCAGATCTGGAATGGGTTGTGAAATGTTTAAATAACGCATGGATATTTTAAGGATGGGCTATTTCAGATCTGAAATTTTCTTTTTCTTGGCTATTTCAGATCTCAAATTTTCTTATTCTTGGCTATTTCAGATCTGAAATTTTCTTATTCTTGGCTATTTCAGATCTGAAATTTTCTTTTTCTTGGCTACTTCAGATCTGAAATTTTCTTTTTCTTGGCTATTTCTGGTCTCAAAAGTTTGGTTGATTTATTTATTTTATTACGTGCAAATCGGTTCAAAATAAGGAAAGAATGTTTTTTTAAGTCTATTTCAGATCCTTATCCAGATATGAAATAAAAAATTTCAGATTTGAGAATCAACTAATTTAAGAAATAAAGAATTTCAGATGTTGCACAGAGAATCTCCTGGATACGGGCTGTCTCTGGATTCCAGAGACCTACAAACACCAAATTGTGCGCTATCCAGTGCACAGTTTGGCCCCGTAATGGTGATATTTAAAAAATCAAAAAGTGAAATTTTACGATCTGACTGACTTACAAAATGTTCAAAATCATACTGATTTCACTTCATTACGGAGTAGCATTTACAAAAAAGTCTGAAAGATAAAACTAGAAACAAGCTCAAACGTAGCAGTCTGTATCTAAGATACGGTTTTTTGTCATAAAAGTGCTGCTGACTTCAGCTGGACCGGAGATTTACGTCATAGTCATAATACACATTATTACAGAATCTCTGCTGCCCCATCAGCACCACATCCACCTTCTGCGGGAAGAGTTGTTACTCCGTATCAATTTTTACGATTAAAGTATACTAATTAAACAAAATTTAATCTCAGTTGTTTAGAGCTCAGTCGTTTTTAGGGCACATTTTTAAATATTTTTCTTTTCTCTCTTTCTACTTTCCTACCTTTTCCAGTCCTGCAGCCCAGTTCGCACCCTATATAAAAAGTAGTTCCAGACATTTTTTTCGTTGGTATTTCCAATGTTCTACTGCGTCCCTTGGCAGATTTGTTCTCGTTAATCCTCTTCTGTATAATTCCAGTGAGGCCTTGTTGAGTTCCTCTGACCTTTCTTCGTTGTGTTCTGTTTGTTTCTCTAACGCTTTTACTGAGTGTTTCGTTGTCTTAATAGTTATTTGTTTTTGTTTGTTCTCATATTTCTTGTCAATTTTTCTAATTCTTTGAACCATTTAAATGCCTATTTCTTTTTTGTCGTTTCTCCGTTGCGTCAGCATTAATCGAGCCTTCTGGCGATGTTTCTGCCACTTCCTCCGTTGATAAAAGATGGAGGCTGTTCTTTGCGCATATCTCTCTCTGGCTTCTCTGATCCCCTCTCTAGTGTTTCCCGGCCAATTCCGGTCTTTCTTCTTATGTTCTCATGTCTTTCCGTTTTCTCGTCGTGCAGAACTTCTCGTTTTTTTTCTACCTTTTACCTTGTTTCTACACTTTTTTAAATTTTGTACGATATGTTTTGTCCACTAAAATATATTTTTTCTGATAATCAAAACCAGTTCTTGTCTAATTTGTTTTCATGAAAAGTATATATTGCATGTTTTCATGGATTTTCATGAAAAGTACATATTGCATGTTTTTGCGCATATTTGGACAAAATTATTTTTGGTGCATGCTCTCATGGGAAAATTGCATATTTACTCTATTTCACCAAGTCATCTCGCTATTAATTGACTAAAGTTGTTGACCTGTCGAGCTGCATACAGTTGGAATCCTCTGATGTGGAAGAGATTAGTTGAGCAATGTTTACACAGCTGTGCTTTTACACATTACAAGCCGCGTTCATTGGTTTTTGCGCATCAGGTCCAACTCTGACTTGATTTGCAATTCAAAATGCCGAAACACAAACTTCATGGATCAGATTTTATCAAAACATTACAGGGCGGCGGCCAAATTTGGATTTACGAACAGAGTACAGAAAAAGTTATCTGCCAAATTTGCGTTACTGGTTTCGATTATTCTGCAAAAAAACGCGAGTTTCAGGATAAAGCAACACGTCGAAAGTGACAAGCATAAGAAACTCAGTTTACATACCCAACGGCAGTCAGTCATCAGTTTTGAAACTGAGGTGACAAATAAATTCTTTGAAGACCTAACTCATTCTTCTGTCGCGGCGAATATTCCTTTCAACAAGTTGCAGAATGAGTCTTTCAAATCGTTTTTGGAGAAATGGACTGGCAAATCAACTCCTGATGATTCAACTATTCGTAAAAACTACTTACCCAAGGAGTTTAAAAAGTTTTTGACGAGATCAAGCAGACGGCAGAGAATATTCAAAGAAGTTAATGGCCTACCTTTACCTCCAGTACCAGTTTTAAACAGATGGTCTTCTTGACTGACTACTTGCAACTACTACGCTCAACATTTTTCTGCTTGCAACGAGTTTTTACAGTATCTCTGCATAGAAGAGCCTGGCAACAAAGAAATCGAGAAGATTATGAGTTTGATGAATAACGATTTGATGCAAGAACTCGGGTTTATTTTTGCTTCATTTGTGTTTTTGCCACAAATTATAACCAGACTGCAAGGCCGACTGTCTTTGGTTGCCCAATTTGACATTTTGAATAAAGTTTTGGGCGCGGTTCAAGGTGAAAAGTACAAAGAAAAACTGGACTCAGTGTTGGTTAGGATTCCTAATTTCAAGCAGCTCAAAGAATTTTCACTTATATTGCGGGGTGAGAATCTATCCACCACCGATGTCAACCCATTAGACGCTGCAATTTTCCAGAATGCTCCCATGGTTTCAGTCGACATTGAGAGAGTGTTCTCAAGCATGGAACAAATTCAGTCTCCCCAGAGAATGAGACTCGCAATTGAGAACTTGAAACAACACTTGATTGTATATTGGTACAACACTGTGTTCAAAGATAATTGAATTTCTTTTTAACTTTTTAGTGCATGTTTAGGTGCATATTTTGCAAAAATCGCTGCATTTTTTGGTGCATGTTTTTTCAATTTTTGGTGCATGAAAATCTTAACCCTAGATCTGTTAAATTATTTGCCTCCTATTGTAAAATGGGGACTAGCTGACTATAAGCACACTAGATCGAGATTTCGCAGATGGTCTACCGGTGAAATATTCGCCACCATTTTGTCTTTAGGCATCTTGGTACTGTCCAGGCGAGAATATTAAGTACAAATGGTGGTACACGGACGAGGTGGGGGACATCAAGAAGAAGGACAGGGACTTTCCCTTTTGGGACATAGATGCCTATGACATGGATGCAGGCCTATATAAAGTCTGTGTCAAGGCCATTATTGACAACGGTGGGCAAATTTTAGCGGGCAGCCACTCACTGAAAAAGAAAACAACTGTAGGCTGTTCAATTGACACAAATCGTTGCAATCAAGCTGATTAAAAAAACTAAACGATAATTAAAATGTGAATGATAAAGGGTAAACATAACATTTTTCATATTTTGTTTTCTATTTTTTTGTTTTTCTGAACTTCAGGTTATTAAGTTAACTATAAGGTTGTATATTTATCAGTTATCAGTTACTGTTTTGTGCAGCGTAGCATAAATTAGCCTACTCATGAGACTTTAAGTGCTTTACTGATACCCGGGTTGACGTCCATAGAAGAAAAATGCTTATCATACAGTTTCATATGTGAAGTCTATGGAAAAAATGCTAATCATAGAATTTTTGGTCTAATTGCCTCTTTTGAAGCTTTCTGGTCATTAAAAAAATAATTTGAAATAATTTGATTTTCTCAACTATCATAATTTTGAAGCTAAAAATTATCTAGCCATATTCAAAATGTTGCTTTTTTGGTACATATTTCCATGTGAAAATGTTATAATTAATATTTAAGGCTGAAACCACCAAATGCTGTTTATCTGCGTGGTACCTGCCAGTTACACTCTGAGTTTTCTCATGACAAAAAATCCTTGGCTAGTGATTCGGTTGAAACAAGAAATTTCGCAACAAATTTTTTTTGTTTTTTCATTTAAGGAAAAAATGCTTGTCATACAATTTCATAGTATGGAAAAAATGCTTGCCATACAATTTCATTTATAGAAAAAGTGCTTAATTTGCTATTTTCATACATATACTTTTGCTCTATGAAAATGTATGAAAGAGTATAACAAGCATTTTTTTCATATATGAAAAATGTATGATAACCATTTTTTTGTCAACCCGGCTAATTCTGCTAGATATCGCAATACCCAAAATTGTTAAGGTAAAATTACCCTAAATGAGTTCAGGTTTAAAAAATTAAATTAACTTTTATCTTAAAATTACCTTAACTTTACCTTAAAAAAAATATTAAAATAAATTTTACCCTAACTGAATTAAAGTAATTTACCTTAACTTAACTTTAACTTTAACTGAAAAAATTGAAATTGATTTTAACGAAACAGGAATAAGGGAAATTAAGATAAACATTGGATCTCGTAGTTAACCTATCAAAATTTCAATGCAACCATTCAGCGAATAAAGTTTTCTATGAATGTACATATATGTATGTATGTATGTATGTATGTATGTATGTATGTATGTATGTATGTATATATGTATGTATGTGTGTATGTATGTATGTATGTATGTATGTATGTATGTATGTATGTATGTATGTATGTATGTATGTATGTATGTATGTATGTATGGATGGATGTATGTATGGTATGTATGTATGTATGGTATGTATGTATGTATGTATGTATGTATGTATGTATGTATGTATGTATGTATGTATGTATGTATGTATGTATGTATGTATGTATGTATGTATGTATGTATGTATGTATGTATGTATGTATGTATGTATTTATGTATTTATGTGTTGCAGCGCAAATATAAAACAAGAAGTACAAATGCGCGAGAGTATAAATGCATAAAACTGAAACAAAATGTAACAACAATAAGCACAGTTGGCCGAGTGGCCTAAGCTACGATAACGCCCACTATATAGACTCGACAGTTGACGTAGGTTCGAGTCCCCCACCTGCCCATGTATTGATATGCTAAAAAAGGGGGTTATATCCTATTTTAACTGTTTTGTTGATTCTAATTTGGTTCAGCCTTGATTAAGGCTGACCGCTAAAAAAGAGCAATTTGTCTCAAGGACATTACCGACCGGTTCTTGTGGCTAGCTTGCGCTAATTTGTTATTGAAGCGGTGACGAATATTATTGAAGTTATGATGTTATTGAATAATATTGAAGTTAGTATTGAAGTTATACCCGACCGAAAGGACGAGAAATTTGCCGGTAAATTTTCTCGTTAAACTCAAATATTCGACTTCATATTTTTGATTTACGGAGATTAGGCGCACATTTTGGCGCCCCACAAGGGATCCCGAAGTCTTTCGTTTCACGAAGTCAAAACACAAGGGACAGCGCACGAAGTCGGGACAAAAAGTTAACGACAAAAAAAATATCTGATTTTGATTTATCCTGATACAAAATAGAGCAGTCTTATTTAAGTCGTTGTTTCTTTTTTTTCTAACGGTGGAAGAGGTGAAGCTTTTGCGTGAAAATACGAATACTTAGCAATTTTTCCGGTCAATTCTCTGTTTCAATCCTGCAGCACCCATGACCGCCTTCAAATTGTTCTATTTCGGACAGGCTACTCACAGTGACGAAGAAGTGTGAATGATACCCTCTAATACTCAATGGATGACAAAGTGACAAGCGACTGCTGCCACACCAAGCTGTCGTAGGTGACCACGCCCCTCTACTGGATACGGTACTTAAGCAATACTCTACGATCAAAAGTCTCAACATTCAGACAACCCCTGATTTTGAAATTCCGCGAGAATTGAGATTGCTAGTGCACCTTCGAAGAAGGAAAGAGATGAGAGTTCAGTCCTTCCCAACAACATTACGTCAGACATCGGTTGGAACACCAGTATCACTAGTGCAGGACTCAGCCTTAACAAATAAGCGCTCTCCTGCGTCGTTTTCTGTTCATTTTCAGCACCCTGCACCTATTTGACTCCAATCGCTCTGTTCTGTATCCTGGTTTGTGGCAACCCTCAACCGGTGACCTCCAGTTAAAAACTGTAAGAAAGTTCTAAGTTTTTAAAACTTTCCATTCATGCTATAAAATTTTATACGATGTTCCAAATTTTTCCGTAAGCTAGCAACCGGTAATTTTTTCTCAATACTCAGAATTTTTGAGCAGTTACGTTGAACTGAAATCACCTACAATCGGTACTTGGACAATTTACTTGACATTTTTTCTAGATACCAAATTTTTTTGGATATTTGTGAACGAAATATTAATCCGTGAAATTGGATCATAGACAAGGGGTACTAGACTAGTTTTTTGGATTGGTTTACGACTCGAACCTGCTGACCAAAGTTTTCCGAAAAATTTTGGGAAAAAAGTAAAAAATTGCCAAAAATTCCTCAAAACGTCCCCATAATTTTGCGAAACTGTGCTGTAACATGACACCAACCTTATGGTAAGTGGTCTGGTAGCAAAATATCAGGCCAATTAAGTTGAGTTTTTTCATCCTCAGGTTTTTTCCGCGTGTGTTGTTGGAACTTAACCAATTTGCCTGATCCCCCACCCACCATTGGTGAAACTAAAAGCCAGTTCGCTTCAAGTAAATCTAAGCCGTTTCAGCCCGTCCGATTATTGACTTCGTTGCGCGACACTAATGTTAAGTGGTCAGGTACGGTAATATTAAGTGAGTTAAGTTGAATTCTTTCATCCTCAGGTTTACTCCGTGTGCGTTGTTGGAGTTCAACCGACCTACTTAATTTCCCCAACCCATTGGTACTTTAGCGTAACGTAGCCGTCGCATATGTCTCTTGAGCGTATGGTATTCATTCTAGGAGCTAGTTCCTTGGATCACGCGCTCCGTATACTATCCGCACCGTCTCAAAAGCGCGTGAAAGAGACTTGTTTCACAAAGCCCGGTTTAAGCTTTATTTTAACGCCAGGGACTCGCAGAAAACTATCCAATAATATCTGCATCACTTTTTGTCGAATCGGAAAGATCTAGTTATTTGGCACGACGCCATAAATAACTCCATTAGTAAGCACCGCAGTAACAACAACCGTAGTTTGAGTACTGACCAACTTAAGAGCCTTCTTTTGAGATACAAGGAGAATATTACCGCTATTGTATACTGTCGCCGCAACGGTACGGACAATATAGAAAAAGAGTTGAAAAAGACAGGTATTCTCTTTCTTAACATAGTTGAGGATTTTATCTCAAAGCGAAAGGCCAAAGACCAAACACTTATCGAAAAGTATAAAGAGCTGCACCAGCCCCCTTCCCTTGAGTTGAAGACTCTGTGGTTACTTAGACGATACAGTGCTGACTTAAGTACACTGTAAGCTAAGAAGAAGCGGAACCGCATTATTGATGTATTAGAGTGTTTTGTGGATTTACTTGAGTGAAAATAAAGTATTTTCTGAGAGTCGTTTTTTTCTGAAACTATTAAGCATGGAAGTTAAGTTTCAGAAGAAAATTAGGAAGTTGTTTGAGAAACGTAGCAATCTCGAAAACGAACTTTATAAATGCCACGAAATAATTTTGGAATACATAGAGAATCAGAGTCGTTGCTCAAAAATTGATACTTATATTGAAAAATGTAGGAACTATATAGAACAAGCGGTCGAGATAAATAATGAGTTGATTGATATGGCTGCAAAAAGTGCCAATCCCGACGAATTGATACCGGCACAGGATATGTGGCTTCATAAAATGACTCAAAGCAACGATAAAGTTCTGCAGGAAGCTATCACATATAAAACAAGTTTTGAGTCAGTAACAGAGCCGGACAAAATAGATAGCAGCTCAGAAGTTTCTGATCTTTCTGAAAAAAGTGAAAAACCCCAGTCGCATAAAACAGATAACCACTCTAAGTTGTCACACAGAAGCAGCCGACATCAGCAATCGGGTTCTCAGAAATCTAGTCGTTATACCGCCGCTCCGTCGAAAACACTTTGTGAGAAAGAGCGCGATATGATGATTTTAAAGAAACAACAAGAGGAACTTGAGAGGCAGGCAAAGCTGTCATTAAGACTTAAATAGAATTAAAACAAGATGAAACAATATGTTTTAGAACAACAAAGCAGTTTAGAGTTGGAAGAATTGGCTGAAGAACACAGGAAAAAACTGGCAGAAATTGAGTTGAAAGGGCTTGAGTTAGAAGATGAGTTGTCGGAAATCAGCGAGAATGCCGAGGAAAGTGGTTTAACTCGAATCTCTCCACAACTAACAATAGACGAAAAGGATCGTACGCATCACTGGGTGGATTCTGTCGACCACAATCAGTCTGATGCTGTTGTAGTTCCCAATCAAGAGCAGCACGTTCGTTCAACAGCTCCTGAAGCAACTTATCCTGCATCAACAAATTACTTGGTCTCATCAAGTTTTACAGGAGTGAATAATGGCCAGGCAGCTACTAGAGATCCGGGATTGTTTTACAGTAACCACATTCACGGAAAACAACATAATTTGTCGAAGGTGGTCCGATCGCAGGTTTCCGTTAACAATCCAGTAGGGTTACAGCAGGTCATGCAACCTGTTTCCAATAATTTGCCTCAGCAAACTTTTTTTCCACTCATCCGGTGCTAGGTAATCCAAACACAGGGTCAGTAGTCCCGGTAACTTCTGAAAATTATTTTGCTCCGACAACATCTGCAGAAGTTCTTTCTGGTGTAGCACCGTTCGTTCCTGCATCAACAGCAGTTATTATCAGGTTTCTTTAAATCATCACACTACAGGATCAGTAGTAGCTGGCTACCAAGCACCTGTAATCCCATCACAACAACATATCGGTGTTCCCGTTAGTAGTTATAACTTTTCAAGTGACCACTATAATCCTTATAGTAATTTGTGGAGACCAGCTGTTGCTGCCCCTTTAATGTCAGCTCAACAACACTACATTCCTTCGACAACTGTTTTTTCCGCAGTAACTCCGATTGTTCCTCCGAATAATTTTGTTCCTTATACAAGTGGAGGGACTGTGCTCTTTGCACAGCCTGAAAATTCTTCACATGCTAATCAACCGTTCGTTCCTGATTGTCACGGTAACCCTTCGAGTTACACAGAGCCAACTCCCGGTAATTCACCTGGTGCAGACGTCGAGCGTCCACTTTCGACACGAGAGTTGGTCAATATACTCATGCACAGCCGAAAAGATCATCTCCCTGAGTGGAAGCTAATCCAGTTCGATGGCAATTCACTTAATTGGCATGAGTGGATTGGGCAGTTCATATCGACGGTCGATTCAGCCATACTCAATGACGATGAAAAGCTTACCTATCTGAAAACGCTCGTAGTGGGTAAATCAAAATCCGCAATCTATAGCTATAACTATATAAAGACGCATTAGCAACTCTTCAAAGAAAGTTCGGGCAGCCGCATGCTGTAGTAGGGGCTCATCTAGATAAATTGAGTACTTTTACGCCGCTGAAAATGCATAACTCGGAAAATGTAATTGGATTTTCCTCTGCAATTTCTGGACTTGTTGCCGTATTAAAGTCTCTTTCTTTCAACGACGACCTGAAAAGTGTTAACTTACTGAATCAAGCTGTGAGTAAGCTTCCCCCAAACCTTAAGGAAGCATGGTCAATGCAAACCGTAAGACGCCAGTGGCATGGACCAACTCTGCTAGATTTCATCGAATGGCTTAAAGAAAAAGCGGAGGGTCATGAGAGGCTAAAACGATCAATTCTAAGGGTAAGTCTGAAGAACCAGTTAAGCAAAAAGTAGGTACTAAGGTGTTTGCTAGTTACGCAAATGTAGGTAATAAGACTAAGGAAAAACCAAAGTACCCTCCATGTTCTGTATGTAAAGGTCAACACGCTCTTTGGAATTGCGCCGTATTCAAAGAGAAAAACGCTACGCAGCGAGTGAAACATGTAGCCGAATAAAAACTTTGCTTTGCGTGATTACAGAGCAATCACAGTTTTCGTAATTGTAGCAAGGCCAGAAAGTGCCCCAAGCCAAATTGTGAAAGCACGCACAACGTACTCTTACATGGAGCGGAGAAAATTTTTTCCTCCTAAGGATACTGAAAGTTACCCGGCGTCAGGTAACGCAAACACTAAACATGTATCGACTAACGCTGCCGTCGGCGATATTCATAGCCAGGAGTCAACTAAAGGCCTCCTGTCAGTTGCATCACTTGCCGTCTCTTCGGATGCGACGATTACTAATGCCCTAGCTCTTTGCGATAGTGCTTCCACGCACTCATGGGTATCCGCTGATCTCGTAAAACGCCTCCATTTGGTTGGCATTCCCGTTAACCTCACCATAATTGGATTCAATTCCACGAGCTTGATGAAAACTCATCAAGTAAGTTTTCAAGTTTCCGCCGAAACGAATAATAGTGAATTTTCGTTATCTTTTCGAGCTTATGTTAAGGATCATACTCGTATTGGATCGGATCGCATAAGCATTCCGGAATTACAGGAAAAATACCCGTAGTTGGCTCCGATCAAACCTATTCATTATAAGTACGAGGACGTCGAAATAATTATTGGACAGGATTTCTACCATGCCATAAGACCCGTTGATTACCTTCTGGGGGAGGACTCTATTTCACCGTGCGCCGTACGCCTTCCGATAGGTTGAGTTTTAAGTGGTCCGTTACGGCCGTCCTTTAAGTCGAACTCGTCTTGCTTTAAGTGTGTTGTCGAAGACATGTCTCTTGCGGACCAAATTAAAACTTGGTATGAGTTGGAGTCATATGGAGCCTTCAAGCAAGTAGATGCCCGTTCCGCAGCCGACAAACGCGCTTTGTCCGTTTTGAAAAATGACACCTTTCACGATGATGAGAGGTACATTGTACCAATGCTTTGGAACGATAAGGAAAGCACTTTAACGAATAACTATTTTTCCTCCTTAGCTCAATCAAAGTTTTTGGAAAAGAGGCTAGATAAGGATCCGTCGCTCCGAGAAAAATACGCCGAAACAATCAGAGAAGATATACAAAAAGGATATGTCATAACCGTTAAGGCACACGATTCCAAATCCCGAGCCGATCGTGAGTGGCATCTCCCGCATCACCCGGTGTTGATCCCGAATAAACCCGGTAAGGTGCGCCGAGCCCTCAATGGGGCATCGAAGTGTCATGGTGCTTCCTTGAACAAATCTCTGTTGGTTGGCCCGGATCTCCTTCAAAACCTCATTTTTGTACTTTTAAGAATCCGTCAGCATAAATACGCCGTTTCAGCTGACATTGAAGGGATGTTTTTACATGTTGGAGTCCGTGAAGAAGATCAACCTTCTCTTCGTTTTTTTTCGCGGGAGGACCCCACATCAAGTGTGGTAGTTCACCAATATACGCGTCACATTTTTGGTTCTTGTGACTCGCCGACTTTGCAAAAGACTGCATCGGATAATCAAGCTGAGTACCCCGAAGCTGCTTCGGTTGTTGTCCAGAAATTGTATATGGATGATTATCTGGATTCTTTTCAAAACAGGGATGACGCCATGAAATTAGGTAGGGATTTTGTCTGACAAAATTTGTCAGCAACGTGCCGGACGTAACAACCGCTCTTGATCCGGACAACCGTGAGTCCAATTCCTCTGTTAAAGATATTTGTGCGAGTCCAGACCAGTCGTCGCATGTTCTCGGTCTTAAGTGGGATCACGTAAAAGATACCTTAGTCGTTAGTAGAGGGGTTGATTGTCCACTAGACAAAGCAATCACTCAACGTACCGTGTTGAGTTTTAATTCCTCTGTTTTTGATCCAATTGGGTTAGTGGCTCCGTATACCGTGAATGCTCGCCTTCTATTAAAAGATATCTGGCGAATCAGCGGTCAAAAATAGGACGATGATCTGCCAGAGGAAACCAAAAAGCAATTCCTTGAGTGGCACTCAGGTCTTCATTTGTTAGGTTCTCTGACAATACCTCGCAGCTATTTCACTGAACCTTTCGATCGAATAGAACTTCAGATGTTCGGTGATAGTTCGCAGGATGTTTTCTGTACCGTCGCTTTCCTTCGAGCGCGACTTGTTAGCTCCCATCAGACCGAATTAGCCTTTGTATTTGGCAAAGCCCGAGTCGCGCCTATGAAAACGCTTTCTATTCCAAAGTTAGAGCTTCAAGCGGCTCTTCTTGCAACCCGCTGAAAAGAAGAAATTTTTAAAGGTCTCACTTTCAAAGTTACGGATATTTTCATGTGGACAGATAGTACCACTGTTCTCCAGTGGCTTCACTCTTGTAGTAAACTACCCGTTTTTGTTGGTAATCGCACTGGTGAGATTCTGGAGTCTACCACCACTGATCAGTGGCATCGCATACTTAGCGGTGATAACCCAGCTGATACCGGTACACGAGGGATTTCTTCGGAAGCCCTCAAGGAAAGCAGCTAGGTTAATGGCCCTAGTATATTGAGAACAACTGATTGGCCGTTCAAGCCCGATACAAAGGTTATTGATAAAATAAGACTCAAAGGACCATCATGTGATATCGAAATTTGTCTGGAAAATTCGTCAAATTTCGTCGTCGATGTTTTGACAGAAAAAAATCTTCCCTTCGGAAAATTGGAGAGATTCAATTCAATTGTAAAATACAAACGCGCAGTAGCATTTTTGTTAAGATGGCTGCCATCCCAAAAACATTTCCGGTCGAGTATATTAGAAGTTACAGACCCGTCTGAAATGGATATTGCTGAACAGAAGCTCATTTACCTGTCCCAGGGTGAGACATTCCCTAGTGAGCTAAAAACTACTAAGATCCGGTAAAGCTATCACGAGGAATATCCCGATCGCCAAGTATTCGTCGTTCATTTGACCAGCTGGCATCCTTCGCTCGACTGAGCGCATCAGCCGCTTGGTTAATTCCGATTTCGATAGCAATCATCCGATTATACTTGATGCACGTCACGCGGTTGTTCCGTTATTGGTCCAACAATTGCACGTTAGCAATTTCCATCAAGGCTTGGATTATATGCGTGCAGTGGTTAATTTGAAGTACGTTGTGTTAAATTTGCGATGGATGCTGCGAATCATTGAAAATACTTGCGTTGCGTGCCGAAAACGCAAAGCGCAATCAGTATATCATATTATGGCTGATCTGCCCATTGAAAGGCTGGGTTACAAGCAATCTCCTTTCTCTAACAGAGGTGTCGACTACTTTGGACCATTCCTAGTTCCAATCCGGAGAAGTACGGAAAAGAGGTGGGGTTTTTCGTTCACCTGTCTTACCACTAGAGCGGTGCACATTGAAGTGGTCCCCTCGCTCGACACAAGCTCTTGTGTGATGGGCATGGAGAGGTATATCGCACGTCGCGGTACTCCGACTACCATCATGTCCGACAACGGCACGAACTTTGTTGGCGCTCAGAAAGAGCT